AGGATAATGCAATGTCTGCAAACCCCCGGCAAACTCAGAGATCAGTATCAGAGATCAATCAGAGATCAATCCTGAGCTACAAATATTCTCCTTTATTGGTCTATTTAGTGTGTTCGCTGCAGATTTAGATACTGAGATATCAATTAACCTGCAATAGGAGGGTTGTTTTGCTGGCTTTCAAAGCTTTATATTATCTTTATTATTATTTTATTAGTGGTATCTTAATTTCCATTATTATAAATTAATATCAGTGGTAAAAATAACTTGAATGATAACTTATTTATTACTTAATAGATTTGAAAAATGTGTTTCATTTAGGTTTGTTTCAATTGTTCAGCTTTTCCCCTCCCTTCCACCTGCTCAGAAAATCTAGTCTAACAAATGATTTTTGAAGGAAGGTTGTGGATCTACTTAGGCCTTATAAGAAAGGAAAGAAAAAAAAATACTTCGTATTTTTTAGAGATTTCTAGGTCCCTGCATTAGAATGAAAGGGGGATAACAAACTAGATGGAGTTGAGAGGAAGAAAAGAAGTAACTGGACTCATAAGAAAAAAGAAAAGGAGATGCTTTGTTCAGGAATTAGAAAAAGGTTTGCAGTTCATCAGGCAAACATTCAGGTTGAACCTTCAGTATCAGAAATCTTTTGTATTTCCTATCCATTTGTTTGCTTTCAGACACATCTTCTGCTTTTCTGAGAGAATGTTACCGTGTTTCTCCAACAATATGGCCTCCTCCAATAGGAAGTCCCAGCATGTTTTATAGGCATAAAATGAAATTAAGCCCCTTCCCCCAAATTAAGGCCTATATTAAACATGCAAAATGGGGGGGGAATGGTGGTGGGGGGCTTGCCGTTAGGAAGTACTTTTGTTGCATACCTGGATATTGTGCTGCCTGTGCTGATCTCAGCATTAGTGGGGCACTTCGTATCGGGAGACCTTCATCCACCGTTGCTTTCCCTTCTCCCTGTGCTGCCACAGCGTTTAGAGCAACGCCGTGGCGTTTGGTGCAGCCACGCGGCGTTTGGCACAGCCACACATGGCCAGCCAGGGCTCCTCCCTGCAACCGGAGCCCGGCGGAGAGACTCGGCTTCAGGCATTCCTGTCGCCGCCTTCCTGGGCATCGTTCGAAGGCAAAGCCTATTCTTTTAAAAACGATGCCCTACTACCGGTACGACAAAGCCTCCCCTGCCTGAGAGGGCATCCCAACCCCACGTGGGGAGGTGAATCATCCGGGGCCACAGTGCAGGATCAGCCCACCCCGGGAGAAGTGCCCAACCACCATCCCTGCCTGGTGCCATGCAGAGCGTAAAGAGCTTTGCCTGGGGCGCCCAGCGCAGCTGACAGGCGGGCCCTCTCACCAAGGTAGTGAGCTCCTCCCCGCTGGGCCCTCCGCTCATTCTGCCAGGGCCGCGCCAGAGCCGTACGGGCTGGGCAAAACCGAGAAAGCGAGCTGCGGGTGCGCGCCCGCCTGCCAAGCAAAAGACCCAGGCCGACCCAAGCTTGGCTTCCTTCCCAAGTCCCTCCAGCCCAAACCCGAAGGGGCCACCGAGAGAGTCTGCCTGAGGCAGTGATAGCGCCCACCCGTCCGTGGACAGGGAGGCGAGGCGATGGCAGTGCTGCTTCCCTGGCCGTTGGGTCCAGAGGAGAGAGCCTGAAGCTGCCCGTTCTTTCCACCTTTCTCCCAGCCCGTCCCCATCCCCATGCATCTCCAAACGCGCCGGCAGCTCCAAACGCTGCAGCGGCATGGACATCGGCGCTCACTCGGCGGGGCTCAGCTCAGAGGAGGATGTGGCACGAGCTGTCGCCTCCCTGTCCACGGATGGGTGGGCGCTATCACTGCCTCGGGCAGCCTCTCCCAGTGGCCCTTTTGGGTTTGGGCTAGAGGGACTTGGGAAGGAAGCCAACCTCGGGTCGGCCCAGCTCTTTCGCTTGGCAGGCGGGCGCGCACCCGTGGCTCGCTTTCCCGGCTCTGCCCAGCCTGCCCGGCTCCAGCGCGGCCCTGCCGGGATGAGCAGAGGGCCCGGCGGGGAGGCGCTAGCTACCTTGGTAAGAGCTCCACTGCCGGGCAGGAGGGCCCTCCTGTCAGCTGCGCTGGGTGCCCCAGGCAAAGCTCTTCATGCTCTGCACGGCGCCAGATAGGGATGGCGGTTGGGCACATCTCTCAGGATGGGCTGATCCTGTGCTGTGGCCCCGGGTGATTTGCCTCCCTACATGGGGTTGGGATGCCCTCTCGGGCAGGGGAGGCTTTGTCGTACCGGTAGTAGGGCGTCGTTTTTAAAAGAATAGGCTTTGCCTTCAAATGATGCCTGGGAAGGCAGCGACAGGAGCACCTGAAGCCGAGTGTCTTCGCTGGACTCCGATTGCAGGGAGGAGTCCTGGCTGGCCGCGCATGGCTGCGCCAAATGCCGTGGCATTGCTCTAAACACTGTGGCAGCACAGGAAGAAGGGAAAGCAACGGTGGCGGAAGGTCTCCCGATAAGTGCTCCACCAACGCTGAGGTCAACATCCAACCTGTCGCCGCCCGCCTGCCCGAGGATGCAAGGGGGGGGAATTAAGTCACCCCCGAAAAGACGGCCTAGCTGTTTTTTCAGGGGTCAAAAAAAAATAAGGCCCGGACTTATTTTGTGAGAAACATGGTAGAAACATACAATTCCAATTAACAAGTCAATATTTGGAAATGAAAAATCTTAGGAGATAAATATATTTTCTATGTACTCTTCATATTTTCACACTTCTCAAATGAAATAGTATTTCATCACACAATAAATAACCCAGGAAACGACATCAATATTGTTGAACAACGTAAGCAAATGCCAACCCAAGTCTTCTTTATATTAGTATAATTTTTATTTAGCACTCTTCTTTTTGGCAGAGAGCCATCCCTACATATGAAAACACTGATACAAGCTTCCACTTCACACTCAACATGTGTGTGTCTGATGTGGGCACTGAGGCCAGCTTCCTATCCAACATAATGCAAATGGCTGTCTGCTATGAGTGTGTTTATCTGTGGTTAAAGAGATGAGCCATCACTAATCCAAATCTGGTTTGCATTAATTATCCAAAATAAAAACAGCACAGCACAGCCTCAGCTTGTACAAAGTGAATGTCTCCACATCTTTTCCTACTGAATTCAGTGATATATAGCATTGTAAAAAAAATTGGAGAACAGCAGTCATTCTGGACCAATCCCATTTGGTCTAGTATTTTAGTCTAGTGGGTAGCTTATGAACTACTGTTAAAAAGTATATAGTATTCTATTATTTTTCAAAAGATCATATCATATCATAAAAGATCAGTTCACATTAGCCAATTCCATGGACTAGTTGTGCTAGGTCAGGGATATCAAGCTCAAGGCCAGCAGGCTGAATCCGGCCCGCAGGGTGCTTAGATCTGGCCTGTGGGGCTGCCCTGGAAACGGTGAAGGACTCGCTCATGGTGCCTTTGTATGGCCCTCCCAAGCTCCGTTTTTGAACACAACGGTTTCCTACAGCCCTCTACCAGTGAAAACAGAGCCTGGGCAGGCAGTGTGTGGCTCCCCTGGACTCTGTTTTCACTGGCAGAGGGGTGCAGGAGGACGTCATGGCCAAAAACGGAGCCTCAACAAGTGACATTGAGCTGGCCACGCCCCCTGAGGTCAAACATAACCCTGATGCAGCCCTCAATGAAATCGAGTTTGACACCTATACTAGATCAACAAATAATTATGGTTTTATTCAGGATTTTGTATATTTCATTCCACATTCAATGCATCAGATCAGAGTTTAAGCAGCTTTGTATACCAGAAAATTGTGTATGTTATATGGTCTTGTATCATTTAACACAGTGGTTGGGAACACCTGGCCTGTGAAATCACATGCCCCTGAACTGTTACCAACACAAATCTCAGGTGCTTTACATATCTTGAAAAATTCTTGTTATTTTCTTCAGTATAGTTTATATGTCCATGTGTGTGTTATGTGCTGCATGAAGAAAAGGAAAATAAAATATATCCTGTACTGCAGATATTACATTTGAAATTATCTGTGTATTATCACTTCATACAAGATTTGTCATTAGTGATGAAAAATATGATCTGATTAAAATAGTACTTCCTAACCAGTGTAAAAAGATATATTTCATATCTGGTTTTGGATTTGTTATAACTTGCAGACATGGGAAGGCAAATTAAACTGTTACTGAGTTTTAAAGACTCTCTGCTGACTTATTGCATGACAAAGAATACCCTTTGAAAATAATGCTAACTACTGCTTTTTTGACACGTTATTGTACATTTGAGTACGGTACATAGTAAAATACTAAATAGTTATTTAATACATGAAACTTCTAATGTAATAAAATGGTATATGAGGGCATTGGGTACATTCTGATTATTTTACTATATGGGACTGGCCCACACAAAATAGAACTTCTGTTTAAAGTACTTTTACCATGGATAGCTTTGAGGTTTTACCTATATCAGCTGTCATTTAAGTTCTTGTCAATCAACAGAGTCACTTCATCACTTGATATTTGCAAGATCCGGTGATGGTTTGGATGTCTGACTAAGCCACTGAAGATCTAGCAGCCTGAATAACTTAATTTTACATTTGTAATATTCAGTAGAATTAGTTCATTTTTTCCCCATAAAATAACCATTTATGGTCACTAATAATTAGCTATGTATCATCTTTGGACACAAATGTATATATCTGGTACTACAAAACAGATAAATTATCACAAATATTAACAAAGAAGAAAGACAATCTGGGATGTAGATAGCCCTTTTTCAGGTGTGAGTACATGTGGATGCTTTGTGCCATTAAGTGAATAATTTAAAAAGAAGGGGGGATAACATTCCACTATTAAATTTTTAAAACTTTTCAATGAATGAAGCATCAAAGTAATGTTATTAAATATGAGTCATGTTCCTAACTAAAATATTGTTGTTGTTGTTGTTGTTGTTGTTGTTGTTATTATTATTATTATTATCATATTTTGTACACTTTTCATTTGTTCTAGTCCTCTGTGATGTCCGTCTGTTTTGCCCGCTTTCATCCAAACCTAGTTGTTGGAGGAACCTATTCTGGCCAAATTGTTCTGTGGGATAATCGTAGCCACAGGAGGACACCAGTTCAGCGTACACCTCTTTCTGCAGCTGCGCACACGGTAAAAATTATTTAGTGATGTATGGAATTAACACGTAAAGCTATGTGTAAAGCTGTTATTTGTTAAAAATAAAATATTCAGCTGTCAAAGAAAAGTAGGATTGTAGGGTTGCAAGTGACTGGGACAGTGACCATTCCTTTTGTTTTAACGAAGTGCTAAACTGCTTTGCTATACTTTTGCTCCATTCGCTTCTCCTTCTGTAACCAAAAGCTTATTTTAAAGTTGGGTGGATGATAATGAGTGAGAAAGCTTATGGAATAATTGCCTGGTAATCCTACAATCTTGTTTGGTTCAAATCATGGTAAATCTACCATTCCAAAATTTGCCAAATTACCTTGTTGTTCACATTCCAGAGAAAATCAGCAGGAAATGCATGACAAGTATTCCTAGAATGGCCGCTCACATTTCAGCTTAAAAAAAAAAAAAAGACTGAAGAGTAAAATATGTTAATATGCTAATTAACATATTTTAATATATAGTACCATTAATCCTCAACATACAACAATTTCTTTAATGACTGTTTGACGTTACAACGGCACTGAAAAAAATGACTTATGGCCATTTTTCATCCCTTATGAATGTTGTAGCATTCCTATGGTCTTGTGATTTACATTTGTATGCTTGACAACTGGTTCATGTTTATGACGGTTGCAGTCACGGGATCATCTTTTGCAACTTTCTGACGCAAAGTTAATGAGGCAGCCAGATTTACTTAACAACCATGTTACTAATTTAACAACTGTGGTGATTCAGTTAACAAATGTGGCAAGAAAAGTTGTAAAATGGGACAAAACTTACTTAACAAATTTCTCACTTAGCAACATAAATTCTGGACTCAATTGTGATCATAAGTCGAGGATTACCTGTATGAACCTTCGTAATGAAGGTATATAATGAATATACCTTTTCAGAATGTAAGAAATATTTAAAACAAAGCTCATACAAAATGTATATTGGTTTTAGTGGAACTTCAATTTGTTATATTGCAGATATCTGTTTCCTGCATAATGTAATTAAACACAAAATGTCATATTTCTGAATAATCAATATGATCCAAACCATAATGCTTAGAGAACATAGAATAATAGGGATGGAAGGGACTTGGAGGTCCCTTAGTCCAACATCTTTCTTGAGCAGGAGAACCTATACAATTCCAGAGAAATGGTTGGCCAATCTCTTCTTGAAAACTTCCAGTAATAAAGCACCCACAACTTATGGAGACCAGTCATTCCAGTGACTGATTGATCTCACTGTCAGGAAATTTCTCCTTAGTTCTAGGTTGATTCTTTCTTTAATGATCTTCCAGTTGTTACTTCTTTTCCTTCTCTCAGGTGCTTTGAAGAATAAGTTGACCTGTCTCTTCTCTGTGACAGCCCTTTTAGTTCTGGAAGGCAGCTCCCATGTCACCCATAACTCTTCTTTTCTATAGGCTAGACATTCCTTGTTCCCTTAACCATTATCATATGGTTTAGCCTCCAGACACTTTATCATCTCTGTTGCTCTTCTCTGCATTCTTTCTAGAGTCTCATCATCTTTGGTGTATCATGAAGACCAGAACTGGATACAATGTTCCAAGTACAGCCTCACTAGTGCAGTGTAAATTAGTGCTATCACTTTTTGTGATCTTGATGCTATCACTCTATTAGTAATAGCACTTATAGACTTATATACCATTTCACAGTGTTTTACGGCCTTATACCATTTCATAGTGCTTTATAGCTCTCTCTAAGCGGTTTACAAAGTCAGCATATTTCCCCCAACAGTCTGGGTCCTCATTTTACTGACCTCGGAAAGATAGAAGGCTGAGTCAACTTTGAGCCAGTCAGGATCGAACTGCTGGTAGTCAGCAGAATTAGCCTGCAATACTGCTTTCAAACCACTGTGCCACATGGCTCTGAATGCATCCTAGGCTTGCATTGTTTTTTGGCAGCTGCAGCATTTGCTGCTGGCTCTGTTTTAAATGGTGGCCCACTAGGATATCTAGATTTCTCTCACAGCTACTACTGTTGAGCCAAATACTGCTTATTCCAGTGTTTCTCAGTCTTGTGAACTTGAAAATGTGTGGACTTCAGCTCCCACAATTCTCCAGCTAGCATGGAGATAGTTACTACAAAACCATCAAAGCATAATAACAACAGTTGTCTAGACATGTGATGCTTTTACCTTGAGAAAGAAACCATATGTACAAGCTTATTGTAGTACTAAATAAGAATTTCTCCCTGATGCAAACTGGAACATACATAATTTGTTACCACCAGCTACTGGTTTCTAAATTTCCTGAACTTATTCCTGTAAATTGATGCTAAGGTTTACAAGAAAAGAACTGCACCACATGTTACTCTCTAATCTTCTTTCACGCCCACTACACATCAACATTGGGAATAACAGGAAATTTTAATTATTATTATTTAAATGAAACCTCTGGCATGATGATTTCATTTCCAAAATAAATAAAAACAAGATGGCATCTTTTTCTTGGACAGGAAAGAACTCCAGAGATTCTCTCTGAAAAATAGAGTTGTTGTTTCCATCTCCTCCCCTTTTTCCCTGCCTCCACTTGGTATTAGAAACATCCTTTTCAATCTGTAGTGAGATTTATTGCTTATGAAATTGACAGCTGACAGCGCTTATTAAATCCAGGCTTTGCCCAAAAATGTGCTGTGAGGAAAATGGGAATCCATTTTCATGCTACTGAATGTTGCCCCACCTATGTGAACTTTAAACTCTTTTTGTCCTTGCAGTTCCCAGTTTTGGAGACTATATTACCAGCTTGCATAAGCACCATAGTGAGGAGGGCAAATGTCCAGTAAACTTCTATATGAAATGACTTAGGTTTGGGTTATTTCTACAGAGCACATGTGAAAGGCTGTTTCTCTCAGACAAATGAGTGAGAGGCAAATGGAGGTATATTTAGACATGAATTGAAAAGTAGTTGAAAACTTAGAGCTTCAAATTCAAGAAGTTTGGTTTAAATGCATGTGTGCACATGTACTAACTGAATTATAGTTCTTATGTGGTGTTTATGGTTCCAAAAGCTTATGAAGTTTATTTCTTCAGGGATAGGGGTGGGGAGAAATACATGTAGATATATGAAGTTCTTCTCAAATCACTATGAAAATATTACATGCAAATGTGTTCTTAAATGTTAATATAAACCGTCTGGATTTTTGGAAGGTGGGTGGCATATAAATCAATAAATTTCAGTGGTCAGTTTTTGAAAAAATTTCTAGAAGATTTAAAGCAGATGAGGTGTTTCACATCTTCACAAAGCTATCTATAGTATTCTCCCTATGTGGAGTTTCAGTGTATATATTTGTAAAGAAATATTTTAAAGAAAGGGCAGCACAGATTGATAAATGAAAGCAGGGGTGGGGAAGAGAAAATTAAGACACATTGAAAGGATGTAATATTTTTGAATGAACATGCAAAGTGAGTGAAATCTATGAATATAAATACGAAATTATTAATGAGGAGCAATAATCCAGAGTATGAATGGGCGCCTTTAAAATTGTTACAGGTGCATATGAAATAGAGGTTAGTGAGAATGGAAGAACCAGAAAATTTATTTTATGTATACTGAGAGTATTTACACCAAGACAAATTCCTTGTGTGTCGAATCACACTTGGCCAATAAAGTATTCTATTCTATTCTATTCTATTCTATTCTATTCTATTCTATTCTATTGAGATGAATGGAGACTGCATAAAAAGTGATCAACCACTTGGAGAATCAAAAATAAAATGATAACCCTTTGAAATGTCTTTGAATATTAGTAGCTAGAGTTCATCTTCAGCGCACATCTTCAGTACACTTTGGATTGTGCTTGTCTGGGGAAGCACTGGCCTTTAAATATCTTTCTGAGTCCTGATCTGATTTTGGGTTATGTAATTGGCTGGCTGTAGTTGCTGAGTCAAAGTCTTTGGGTTTAAGTACCATCTGTGTGATGTAAATTGGTGCTCATGTTGTTGTTCAGATGTCATGGTCTAGTTTTGGGTTGATTTGATCAGCTGCATGTGAGGTTCGATTACTTGTGATACAGATTACAGATTAACAGAATTGGAAGGGACCTTGTAAGTCAGCTAGTCCAACCCGCTACCCAAGCAGGAGACCCTACATTACTTCAGGTATAATACAAGATTACAAGAGTGATGAGAGATTCTGAAATGTGAACAGACTATTTCTTGGAGGTATTAAGAATGACTCTTGGGGCAAGATCGATATGGAACAAAAGTAAAGTGAAATAAACAATAGTGAAAGTAGAACAATTGCAGAAAGTATGAGTTCTATAAGAAAAGGTATTAGGAGATACTTGCTGAACAAAATAAATGTAAAGGATACTTATGAAAAGAGAGAATGGAAACCACTTAGAACAGAGTGAAGAGAATTCTCTCCCAAGTGCCATAAAAGTGTCATGGGATAAATGGTAATCAATGGAAATAACACATTGTGGAAAGTTGAAATGAAAGAGCCCGGATTGACAAAAATGCACACAAGAAAAGGACTGCTGGAAAAATGAGGATGAGAAAAAGATATTTTATGAATAGAAAAATAGTTGCAAAGAATGTAGGAAAGAGTACAAAGAATGTTTGATTAAAAAAGACAGGGAACATTCAAATTGGTTTTGATAGAAATAAACATGTTATGAATGCAATAGAAGAAACATCATTAGAGTCAATGACCAGTGAAAATGGTCTTGTACATTGTTGCTGAGGAAAATGATGTTACTCTCCTGCTATCTGAAGATTTCTTTATCTGATTCTGTGGTTGGACGGATTTGGCATTTCTCCGTCATGAATCTCTATTCCTCCACTTCAGTAACAGAGATCTCAAAGATTAGCGTTAGTTAAGGTTTTGATACCCAGCTGTTCCTGTTAGTCCCTATTACACCTAGAAAATGATAAACTGAAACAGTTGCTTCAGATTAATTTCAATGAATATTAGAACATAAATAAATCCATGACTGAAAATGTTGTTGATATTCCTTTGCTTCTGAACTAGTTGAAAATATTTTACACAAGCCAGAGGTCTGTCCATCCGTCTGTCCATCTGTCCGTCCTTCCTTCCTTCCTCCCTCCCTTCCCCCTCCCTGCCTTTTCTCTTGGTATTTTTCTCCACATTGAAGCTTTTTGGCTTCTACTTTTTCAAATATCAACCACATGTTAACATATGTCCCAAAGGTAGTTTGTTTTTTCAAGAGGCAACTGGACTTTCTGGTTTTCTTTGAAGACTTTTCGCTTCTCATCCAAGAAGCTTCTTCAGTCTCTTGAAAAAAGGAAAGAAAGTGGGGGGAGAATCTTTGGGACAACCATGACCTGGATGACTGAGAATCTCCATAGACATAGTAACATATACTTGTAAGTACAGGTAGTCCACGACTTACAACAGTTAATTTAGTGACAACAGCCCTGAAAAAGGTGACTTATGATAATTTTTCACACTTAAGACTACTGTGGCATTCCCATGATCATGTGTTCAAAATTCAGATGCTTGGCAATTGACTCATATTTATAACTGCTGCAGTATCCAGGAATCATGTGGTCACCTTTTGTGACTTTTTGACAAGCAAAATCCATGTAGACTCCAGATTCACTTAATAATCATGTTACTAACTTAATAACTGAAGAAATTCACTGAACAACTGTGGCAAGACAGGTTGTAAAATGGAGCAAAACTCATTTAATAAATGTCTCACTTAGCGACAGAAATTTTGGGCTCAATTGTTTTTGTAAGTCAACTACCTATATGATCTATGCTTCTATGTAATGCTGTATTTTCACAGTAATAATAATTTTATTTAGATATGACAGCATAACAAGAGGGAGCAGAGAGAAAGGAAACTTTTGAATATCTTACAGGATTATCATATTTTGGTAAAAGGAGAAGACTCGAGCCTGGAATGACCATCCAGTTTCCCTTGTAAATAACCTCTGAATAGTTAGTGAAATGTTTAATCTGCACCTTCAGATATTTTTTTGGTATTTTGTGTGTTTTCAGCACCCAGTCTACTGTGTAACTGTCGTTGGAACACAGAACGCTCACAACCTCATTACCGTTTCTACAGATGGCAAAATGTGTTCTTGGAGTTTGGATATGCTTTCAACTCCGCAGGTGGGTTTGTTTTTATTTACAGAAGAAGAAAGTGATGGCTGATACCTATTAATGGAATGTAATTTGTAAAAGCTAAAGCCTCACATCCTATGCAGACTAAAACCCATGGATGTACTTTAAAGAGTGTAGCTTGCTTCCAGCAATTGCCTCCTCTGAGAGCCAAAACCCATTTCCTCTGCCTCAAATCATGTAATTAGAGTAATGCGTTAATATGCAGGTCAGTTTCAAGTGAAAATGAAGTAATCTGTTCTAAAATACAGGTAACCATGCACCTTGTGGTATATCAAGCTTATTCTATAATGCTGTTTACCCAGTGTATATTTCATTGTAATATAGCATATAGTGTAAATTTTTATTTGAATGTAGAACTAATCATAAAGAAATCACAACAAAAATTATACAAATACATTTTTCCTATTCTTTAATATTATTGTTAGAAAATCTTCCCCAATCTAGAAACCAACAAACATTAGCCAGTGTAAGGAATTTGGGAGTTGGAGTCCAACCTATCTGGTGGGTATTAAATGGGATGGAAGGGAGGAAATTTATAGGGCCAGCATTTGTCAGTTTAGAAAACAACAATAGCAATGTTGTTTGCCATGTATTTTTTAAATATATTTTACGAAAAGTTATTTGGAAACTTATTAACAAATGTTCTGAAACAGAATCCACAGGCTCAATTTATATATAACCAAGGCTGAGATATATTCTTTATATTAAATAACTCATATAGGATAGAGAGAGAGAAATTCCTCCTCTTTTGTAAAATAGTTTGTTATTTTAACAGGTTTATTCTCTCCACCCTTGATACCAGAAATGAACCAACTAAACAGATTTGTTGAATTAGCAAAGAACAGTAAAATATAAGAAAGACAAAAGTAGATAGCACTGTGTTTGTCTCCCATATCAAATTAGGTTCATGTAGAACAGGGGGTAGGCACTACAATAGTCCTCAACTTACAACAGTTCATTTAGTGACCATTCTGAGTTACAATGACTCTGAAAAAAGTAACTTATGGCCATTTTTCACACTTATGACTATTATAGCATCCCCAAGAACTTGTGATCAAAATGCTTGGCAACTGTTTCATATTTATGACGGTGGCAGTGTCCCAGGGTCATATGAACCTCTTTTGTGACCTTCTGACAAGCAAAGTCAGTGGGGAAGCCGGATTCATTTAACAACCATGCTACTAACTTAACAACCGCACTGATTCACTTAATAGCTGTGGCAAGAAAGGTCGTAAAATGGGGCAACGTTCACTTAACAAATGTTTCACTTAGCAACAGATATTTTGGGCACAATAGTGATTGTAATTTTGAGGATTACCTGTCTTTTTTTTTTAAACTGCATTTAAAGGCATTGGTCAGTGAGCAGAACAACAATTGGTAGGATGGTGAAATGGGTAGATCTCTGTCATGCAAACAAGAGGGGTGAGAGAGAGAGTGGTATGTTTTCATGCTGGAGTAAAACCTTTTTGTTCTCTAGAACTATTAAGCTCATTTTAGGTCCCTGCTGCAATTTTATGTGTTTATATCTGTGTCTGTGTGTGTCTGTTCCACATGAAAATCATAGAAAATATACTCAGTACAGTAGTGTACTTATTACAGTATTGAGGTGGAACTTAAGAATTGCAAAATAGGTAAAAATGGAAATATATGCAGTCCTAGCTTTAGCAAAAAATAGGAAATAGGAAACTTCTAAATTGGCTATCTTTGCTTAGATAAGAAAAGAAATTATAGAGTATACTAAAGTTAATAGAGCACACTCAAAGACTGTAGGGATTGGAAGGGACTTTGGAAACTCAACACCCACCCAGTGTAGACATCCATTAGAAGGGGGCGTGCATAAGCGCACCAACGTGCCTACCGTCCCTGTCCTATTGTTTCTCTTATTCTTTTATTTTTCTTATATGTAACCATTTCATGTATTCACAACTATGTATACATTTATACTTATTATCTTGTAAACAATTGGCAAATCAAATAAATAAATAAATAAAATAAACAAATAAGAACATTCCTGACACAATGTAATGATATTTGAGAATGGCCTTGGGAGGCAAGAGGAAGAGCAGCAGCGTAGACATTGATCTGATAAATCTGAGACTGAAGGAGACCCTCCCTAGGTGGGGAGAGGAGAAGTTATTTCTGACTTGTGCCATTCTGTTCCTGTAAGCTTACAAATCAGTATGGCATTTCTTGGACTTGACTGGTCTGGACTATCTCAAAAGATTGACATATAAAAGAGATATTTTTCTGATGTCCAGCCAAAGTGTACGAGGAAATCTGTTTCCTTATAATTGAAACCCACTGTCTCTTTTCTTTTGAAACTTCTCTGAACAATTGTGCCACATCTGTATATACAGTACAGCTCTGACTTTTTCCATTTCTGAGTTAGACTTGACCAGCACTTATAAATTGGACCTCGCAGTTATTTCAAATTATGGATTATAAAATTTTCAAATTCAGTTAAGTACTTAAGTTTTCTCCCTTGATCTCTATCTGATTTAATTTCTGTCCATGCCATTCCTGACTAGTACTTCTCTAAGTTATTGCAACTAGATCTTATATAGCTGATCTGCATGTATAACTATAGTGCAATTGGTGGCCCCAACCATATAAAAATTCCTAATTTAACAGATGAAGAAGATTATAGAAGCCTATTTTACTATGTTTGAAAGAGTTACTACCTCTTGTAAATGGCCGGACGGTGAATAGATGGCCAGATTAGGCCATGCTTAATAGAAATGGCTCTAAGATTAGTTAGTAAAATTAGCCCTTACCTTCCAACTAGGGAAGTAATGGATCATTTCCATGTTAAAGAGGTAATCCTACACAGGTATAATGCAATTTCTTATACCTACAGGTAGAAGCTTAGGAACTACATATAGGATGAACATGAAGGGAATTGTGAATTGTGGGCAAGATTGGAAGACCTAGGAGAAATTTATTTTATTTATTTTATTTATTTGATTTGCCAATTGTTTACAAGATAATAAGTATAAATGTATACATAGTTGTGAATACATGAAATGGTTACATACAAGAAAAATAAAAGAATAGGAGAAACAATAGGACAGGGACGGTAGGCACGTTGGTGCGCTTATGCACGCCCCCTACAGACCTCTTAGGAAAGGGGTGAGGTCAATAGTAGACAGTCTAAGGTTAAAGTTTTTGGGGTTTGGGGAAGAGACTACAGAGTCGGGTAGAGTATTCCAGACATTGACCACTCTATTGCTGAAGTCGTATTTCCTGCAATCAAGTTTGGTGCGGTTTACTTTGAGTTTGTATCTATTGTGTGCTCTTGTGTTGTTATGGTTGAAGCTGAAGTATTCATTGACAGGTAGGACATTGCAATGTATGATTTTGTATACCATGCTTAAGTCAGACCGAAGACGGCGTAATTCAAGGTTTTCTAGTTCTAGAATTTCAAGTCTGGTGGCATAAGGTATTCTACAGCGAGTAGAGGAGTGGAGAACTCTTCTTGTGAAATATTTCTGGACTTTCTCAATTGTGCTAATATCAGATACGTAGTGTGGATTCCAGACTGATGAACTGTATTCGAGTATTGGTCTAGCAAATGTTTTGTATGCTCTGGTTAGTAGTGTGATATTACCAGAGAAAAAGCTACGTAGGATTAGGTTAACAACTCTTAATGCCTTTTTGGCTATGTAGTTGCAGTGTGCTCTAGCACTTAGATCATTAGAGGTGAGTATTCCAAGGTCCTTTACAGAGCTTGGGTCATCAACAAGATCTTGACTATTCAGCTTGTATTTTATTTTCTGATTTTTTTTGCCAATATGTAAGACAGAGCATTTATTTGTTGAGATTTGAAGTTGCCATTTGTTTGACCATTCGGATACATAGTCAAGATCTTTTTGAAGGGTAGCAGTATTGTCTGTGGTATTGAACAGCTTTACATCATCAGCGAAGAGAACGCAATTGCTCTTAATATGATCACAGAGGTCGTTTATGTAGAGTATGAAGAGAGTTGGTCCTAGAACACTGCCTTGGGGAACACCACTATTGACAGGTACTGGATTTGATAGGACGCTCCCGATTTTGACCATTTGTTGTCTGTTTGCCAGGAATGCTTCTATCCAGTTATTCAGTTGTCCAGAGATACCATAGGATTTTATTTTTAGGAGTAGTTTGTCGTGTACCACTGAATCAAAGGCTTTACAGAAGTCTATGTAGATTGCGTCTATTGTTTTGCCCTGGTCGAGTTGTGTCGTCCATATGTTTTTGAAATGATTGAAGCCAGATGAAAGGACAAAGAAAAAGTAGTAATGAAAGTAATTTTAGAACAGTTTCTATAGATATTTCCTACCAAAGTTAAATTTTGATGCAAGAACACCATAAATGGAGAATATAATATTAGTAACATAGATTTAAATGTTGTTTCCGAACTTTGAATAAGGCTGCAATTTACTTTGATAATCAGTGTCACCTCTATGCAAGATTTTTATAGGTAGAAGGGAGAAAAACTATGATTTCCCCAGAACCATAGAGATTCCATTCTATTTTCCTCACCACTACACCTCAGTATAATCCATTGATCAGCAATAAACAAAAGCAAAAACCAATGATCTGCAGATAATTTCTGGAAATAAAAGACTCAGCGTGTCCTTTCATCTAGGCTCCCCAGCAATACTTTAATATTATTAGATCCTCAGAAATCTGCAAGTAGATTATTTCGGGCTGGAGAAGTTTCGTTACTTTCCTCTCTTGTCCCAACGTTACTGTGCTCAAGAAACAACCAATTGAAAAGAAATGTTTCTAACTTATTTTAGGAGAGTATGGAGCTAGTATATAATAAATCCAAGGCAGTGGCAGTTACCGGAATGGCTTTCCCAACTGGAGATGTTAACAACTTTGTAGTTGGAAGTGAAGAGGGCACTGTCTACACAGCTTGTCGCCATGGAAGGTACTTTCTCCCACACACACACCTTTTTTGGGGGGGGGGGGGGGGGCTATATGATTGTGCTTATGGCATTACTGTAGTTTACAGTTGGTAAAATGGCTGAGATCATGCAGGAGATCTTCTAGTGATTAATGCCTTCAGGCATTAATCTGGAGCAGTGACTTTATGTGGGTTCACAAATATGCATGACCTCTCCCTCCTTCTCTCTCTCCCTCCCTCCCTCCCTCCCCCTCCCTCTCACCTCTCTCTCTGCCTATCTGATCTCTTATTATTCTTATAAATAACTAATTTCACCAAATATATTCAACATGCCTTCCTCCTCCTATTTTCCCCACAACAATCCTGTGAGGCGGGTTGGGCTGAGGGAGAATAACTGGCTAAAATCACTTAGCTGGCTTTCATGCCTAAGGTAAAATTAGAACTCACAGTCTGCCGGTTTCTGGCTAGTGCTAAACCATTAAAATGAACAGGTTCTCAGTTATTTGTCTTTAAAATACTACAAAACCATTCATTGTGTTGCTGTATTTGTTCTTATGGCATACTGAAGTTCCTACTTATCTCCATAATTGCTGTTTGTGTAGGGAAGAGAAATGTACCAGATGATCAGTGACTGCATATATATATCAGTAAAACCTATATGCTGCTTTTTAGAATAAAGTCTCCAAAGATGACTAGCAAATATTAACTTAGTTTATAAGTGAAATGTGCTCATGAACCATTCCTTTTTTTAGAACCTTCTTAACTGCTTACAATAATTAGCCGGGTTTTTTTAATCACAAAAAGTCTGTGATTTGGGATGTTCTGTATATTTTATTAGACTTATTTATAGAAATTTTAGCAGTACAATAAGATGGTTGTTCTTCTACACTTGAATGATATATATGTACAGGTAATAGAGATACAATCCAAACCGTAACGTATTTTATGACTTTTTCAGTCATTCAAGATGAAAAAGCCACAGGATGCTATTCAAAAAAGGAAATCAGAGCTTGTATGCATGTATCTCAGGCACAACATATACTAAAATCATTTAAGATGTTAGTTTGTTATGACATCTTCTTAGTAAGAGCAGGTAACTTTAGTCTTGCTTGTTTTGAAAATGGAAAGCTTATGTCATAGCATTTTCACTGAGGAAAACCATGAAGGTTTCCTAAATGAATTCATTTTTTTCTACAGTAAAGCAGGGATTGGAGAAGTTTTTGAAGGTCACCAGGGGCCAGTGACAGGAATCAACTGCCACATGGCAGTAGGTCCAATTGATTTCTCTCATCTATTTGTTACATCGTCATTTGATTGGACTGTCAAATTGTGGACCACAAAGGTAAGAAATGATATTTAGAAGGCTTACCTTAGTCTCTGTCGTCTCTGCCAACTGTCAGGACTAAACAAAAATAAATGGTGTCAATTTTACAGAGTTATACCTGATATAATAGATAATGTTTCCCCAGGAATACCTTTGTAGATTAACTTTTTCAGAACTATTTTTCATTAAACTATATGGCTTCCTTGCCCCCTTTAGATATGTGAATGTATCTTTCTTACATTCACATATCTATATAGGTCCGTAATGGTGAACTTATGGCACGTGTGCTAGAGGTGGAACACAGAGCCCTCTCTGGGCACATAAGCTGTCGCCCCAGCTCAGTTCTGTTGTGCATGTGTGCGTGCTTCCCACCGGCCAGCTGATCTTTGGGTCTCTGCAATGCATGTGTGTGTGGGGGCAGGGCACATGCATCGGGGCGGGACACATGCATGGGGGTGGGGCACATGTGTGGCGGCCACATGCGTATGCATGGGAGACATATTGCATTTTGGGATGCATGCGCGCTTTAGGCACTTAGTGCCAAAAAGATTAGCCATCACTGATATAGGTGTTTTATTTATCCAACATTCTTCCAGTCTCTTTCTTTCACAAATTCATATTACTATTCCTCCAGAGCTCAAAATTGTTGGGTCAGAAGCAATAGTATGTTGATGCAGGCCAAAAGAGAGTACCTTTTTCAGTTGCACTGAAGCTTAGGAAAATGGAAAATGAAATGGAAAATGGCTTCCATTTTTTTATTTATAAAAGTTTTATATTTATATAAGTTAACTATGATGTAGAAGTAAGCATGCAGAGTTGTGGAGAATGAGATGGGCTTCATCCAAATCCCTCCAACCGTATTATGAACTGGGGAAGAAACAGTTATTTTATCTGTTGGTATTTATATAAGGATAGAGCTTGAGCTTGCCTATAGTATATAATATTTGATGTTAGCAAGCTATAAGAATTTGGTTAATTCATTATAATATCACTGGATCACTGTGGTATCAATATTGCCATTTTTCACAACCTGCAAATAAAAGCTGACAGATGTGGAGCTATATAAGGCCATTCATTGAAATCTGGATTACAAACAATAAACCTGAATTTAAATAACTTGGTATTTTTGCAGCATTTATGAAAGTATTTGTTAAACACTTAAACTTGTACAAGTCGATATCAAACTATTTCAAAACAGAATGAATTTTCTAAGTTGAGCTCAGATTTTAATATGATTTTTCTTTATATTCCAATTTCAGAAAGTTAAAAAAGGCCATAATAATTTATTTGTTTGAATGAATGAATACATGAAGTTAATATAAATTTTGCTAAATTCTTTTAGAATGTCAGATGTTAGATAATCAGATGGGTTGCATGTTCCTGAAATGAAGCACTGATTACTTCATATTGGATAATGTCAGATGTTGGTTGCTGTACATCATATGTAGCAATACTAGTGCATCAATATTAATATCCTGAATATCAGATGAAGCTAGTCTGTAAATCATATAGAAGTCAAGTGCTGAATATAATTATCTAGCAAATGTAGCAAAATCCTTCATGACAAACCAAAAATAGAACGAAATACCATCTATGTGATCTTTTTCTGAATATAAAAGTATTTTAGAGTGGTTGAAAAAAATAAGATTTTTTTTATAGCAGCAGCTTTTCATGGCTTTTGACTTAAGTTGTACTAAGACCTATTAGGAGATAGCAAAATGTAAACTTCAAGCCTTTCCATACAATGAACATTCTCAATCACCCAACTCTAGTTTTACCCCAAATGACATCAAGAGAGACCCATTACATGAAACTTTCTAACTAAAGCAAATCTCCAAGAACTAAAGCAATCTATCATGGGAAAGAACTCTTAGGTCCCTACAAAACATTAATCTTCTAACAGCGGTTCCTAGAAGGAATGATCTTTACGAACGTAGGGAAGTGTTAATATATAATTCAGGAAAAGACACCTTGTTCTGAAGTATATAATAACTTAAAATGTTCATTTTTGACATAGATTATTTAAATTTCCGGTTTTTCGAGGATGCAGTTTTAGTCTATGAAGCCAATGTAATTTTGATCACTGAATCATGAGATCATAGCACACCCATGAAAGCTGAATTAAAATGCTCCCAAAATTAAGATATATCCTGGTATTAGCTAAGACTTCAGTGCATTAATGCTTTGAACATGTAAACTCTTTTCTAAAGGCCACCTGTTCATAATAGATACCAAGGATTATTAGCTAATGTTAATGTACAGCAATCCCTATGTTGTGTACCCTGTTATCATACAGGAGAATTATACTATTCCACATGAAGAAAAAAAAAGATTTGCATCTCTTAGACATTGTTTTGTCAGTGCATCTCTTTATTCTGCCATGCATCAAAAGGAATATGTCTGCTTTGGGGAACTGAACAAGTCCATACAGGGTTTCAAAATGCAATTTTTAATTGCTTTTTTCACCCATTAATTCTACATCCAATACTACAAAAAATATACTGTATATTGAACATGTTTATCCTGTAATGTATATAAATTTTGTATACAATATAAATGTTGGAACACTGTTAGGAACATTTTGGGGACTACTGCATTAGCTAGACTACAGTGTTAAATATTGTGGTTATTATTATTCCCTGATGTTCAATTTTCACTTTAGCATAGGTACATATTTCTAAGCAACATCACTGTTCTGATACAATATACTTAAGTTGTCTCATGTGTCTTCTCCTACTTCCTAGCAAGAATCTTTTAATTGACCTATGCAAAAATTAATAAAAAATATCATTTAAGTTTGGGATTTAGACATAGCAGAGATACTACATGGAAAAGAAGGTTTAAGTAGATGGATGAAATGGTAAAAGAAGAACTCAAAGACTTGGGGGGAAAGAATATAGAATGATATTATTGTAAGTCATTGAGGCTTCTACGGGTAGTTTTCAACAATAATCATTCATTTAATGACCATTCAAAATTAAAATGGCTCTGAAGAAATAACTGTGACCGCCTCTCAGACTTAAAACCATCACAGCATCCCTAGGGTCATATGATCAAAATTTGGCTGCTTGACAATTGGCACATATTTATAGTGGTTGCAGCTTCCCAGGATCATGTGATCACTACTTGTGATCATTCAACAAACAAAGTCAATGAGGTCAGCCACATTTGTTTAATGACTATGAGATTCCTTTAATAACTGCAGTGATTCACTTAACAACCATGGGAAAGAAAGTCATAAATTTGGGGAGGACTTATTTAACAACTCCCTTAACAAATTGAAATTCTGGTCTCAATTCTGGTAGTCAGTTGAAGACTACTATATACTGCACAGTTTTTAAAATTATAAATAAGTTGTATCGACTAGTTAGGGGACTGAGTGATTAGAATTATAACAGCTATGGAAAAATAGCCCCCAATCATGAAGAAAAGTCTTCATCTGTAATGGTACTTTGAGAAGAAATTCCCATTGATGCCAATGAGGCTAGGTTAGGTTCTTCATGCTTCCTGCAACCTTTCTAATCCTTTGCTAAGGATTTCTTTGTGTTTCTCTGTGTTAAATAGAAAGAGACATTTAACATCATGTTAAATGATATGGCTTATTGGAAAATATATCATGGTCTTAACAATATTTTGTCACATAGTTCAAATAATAATCCATTCCTCCAATTGACACAACTTTCCTGTTCTTTTTCTCTGTCTCTAAGTGGATGACATAATATAATACTGGCTAATCTTTTGCTTTTCATTACTTCTGGTCCTTATTGGGGAGATGAGGTTTTGGTAAAATCTAAGAAGAGAGAGATGTTTGGAGTCTTAAATGTGGTTTCTTCCATGTGGTCAGGTACAGTAGGACTGGCAGGAAGCTTTGTCTTTGATTTTTTTCTCTTTCTTCTTAAATTAATTTCCTCTAACACCCACTTGCACCATCTTGGTCAACTGGCATTCCCAAAGCAAGCACATGTTTGCTTTATATTCATGCATTCCTCCTAATCTGTTTTTCTCTCTTAATTTGTTTCAACAAAATAATTTAAACATATGCTTGTTTGATTCTTCTGTGATCTAAGTTTCACCTTAGTCGGATACAACATTTCTATACAATGCAAGGCAAACAGTCCTATATGATTATTCATAACTTTGGCTTGCCTGCAGCTACCCATCCCTTTCCCAGAATGGAGTATTGTGCTCATAGGTAAAGCTGAAATGTCTCAGAACATCTGTGTGTCTGTGGAGATTCTCAGTCATCCAGGTCACAGTTATCAGAGGTGCTTTTTCAAAAGGTAGCTGGACTGTTTTTTCCTTGAGAAAAAAACATTTAACTTTTTATCTAAGAAGCTTCATCGGTTCTGGCAGGATGGTGGGAGCGATAAAAGCTTTTATTCTCACAGGATGGGGGCTGGGGGAATGTTGGAAGGATATTTCTTTGCAGCCATCTGGTTGTTAGCACATTCCCTAAGAGGTCTTCAAGCCACTTGGGGGTTTATCTGTGCCCTCAGGATCACCTGTATCAGAATGCAAATGGAAGTGGAATCTTTCTTGGAATTGCTGAAAATACGGGCGTTGTAGATAGGAGATAGGTGGTTTTTTAAATCCTTCCCCCTCTATTCAGAAAGGGCTGCTCAATGTTAACATAAATGATCTCTTTTATCCCTCTTTCAGACCAGTGTTCCTCTCTATCCAGAATGTGGACTTTTCTGTTTTAAAAAGAATAGCCTTTGTTTTTCAAATGCTGATGGACTGCTAAATCTTGTCTGAGGGTTTGCTCTCCTATGTTGTGCCATGTATTTGTGAAGTGGTTGTTTTGTTTCACCTGTTTGTTCTCAGAACAGCTGATATGCAAAAATGGCATCCTGAGAGCACTCATTCCTTTAAGCTTATTTTGCCAAATTATAATAACATAAGGTAATTCTCATTAGGTTAGTTGATTTCTACATTCTGCCACAGAACAATATGAATTTTCAGTACAAACATGAACACATACACCTATTGGAGAGCAGTAATATTTGGTTGTAATCTTT